GCTGGGCACTGCAAGGAGCAGAAACACTTTGATTAAACAAGTAGACACACCACATCCAGGGAAACTGGTTTCATTACTAGGGAGAGGAGAAAAGGTCATGTGGGTTTTGGCTCTAAATCTACTAAATACATAGCATCATCTATCCTCTGGCATTCCCCTACGGCAAGGGGTCCCAAACAGGTCCTCACGCCCCCAGGAACCCACAAATCATGATTTATGAAGGGTCTGCTTCACTTAGAGCATGAGAAATTCTGAAGGTTGATAGTTGTCCACAGTCCAAAATACTGAAGAACCACAGTTCCCCAGTGAAGCTGGATCTGTATCTTGTAAATCAATAGGAACATATTTAATCCTGTGCATGAATTGACACCTATTGATTTCCTTTAGACAACTTGCCTAACTGAAACAAGGACAAGCATTAGATTTTATTGGAAGGGGACTTATAAAAAAGTAACCCTAATACCTAAGCTGGTATCTACAGATGTCTAAGGGTGGGTGAGCCCCTGGTGGGAACTCTGGTTTGAGTGGGAACAAATCAGAACATGCATAATAGGGACTTAGAAGGCCATACTCTAAAAGCTTTATAAACAGATTTTCTTCTGCAGTTTTTCTTTCATTTGTTTGTTTATTTCTTTTAATAAAACCTCAGGCAACACCTCTGTAGCAGAACTTTAATTTTCTAGTATATTCCACAGGGTAACTTAAATTAAACTTGCAGAAATAATATCATTTTCTATTAACTTCCATGTGACTTACCAACAGGCAGTCTAAACTGACTCTGAGCTTTTTTGGGGCAAGCCAATTAGAAAACCAAAGATGCTGTCATAACAACAGCTGTGAAATCTGGAAATGTCATCTCCATCGTTCATGGGCTTAACGCTCCTTTCACTCCCCAGAAAGAAAGGAATCAAGTTTTTCTCATAAGGAAGGAAATCTAAACAAAGCATATGCCCATAGGAACCCAAAGCCACCATCCATGGAAATAAACAGTGCAACATGCACGACCTTTTCTCTTGCAGAGCAGGATTGGAAACAGATGCGTGAAAAGCTGTTGTCATTTACCAAATGCTAAAGTTGTTCTGGAAATGAGGAATGTATGCAGGACCTGCATTTGGAAAAGCAAACTGAAAAGCCAAGACCAAGGAAAATAAATCAGCACTACCACATCTAGCTCTTGGAAGGAACATTCCAGTCTTGTAAATACACACCCAACACACGTGTATTCGGTGGTAAGGCAGTTTAGATCCATGTCTGCAGGTCTGAATGGTGCATGTTCAACAGTTGGACAGTCAGCCAAGTACACCAACAAAAAGTCACATCAGGGAGTAAACCAAAATATATTTTCATGCTACATAAAGAAAAACCTACCTGAAGGTCCCCACCACCATCAGGAAAGTTGCCGGGAAGACCCTGCAATTCAGGAAATTGGGTCTTTTAAATATATCAAGACAAATACCAGGAGGAAATACAGTTTCTAGAAAATGCACTTTACAAACCCAACTCAGTTGCATCAGCACGAGGCAGATACTCAACCCCACAGTGTAAAATGCAGCCCCTGAACCTCAAGCCTTATGAGCTGTGCCAGTCCTCAACACAGACATGTCAGGGGTGTAATTATCTTCTAGAGATGCACAGATGAGCTTGGGGAAGAGCCTTGAGCCTTAGGTGATGAAAGCAGCAATCTGAGAAGAGCAGCTGTGCCCAGCTCTCCTTTGGGCCAGGGAACATCCTTGGGAAAGACCTCCCTACCCCTCCAACCCTCCAGAGATACCACAGCAAACCCAAACCAGAGATTTGCTGGATTCAAACTCCGTGAGTGCACATTCTGGCAGCAAGAGGAAAATTCTGGACTCCCCATAGGAATTTTCTCACATTTATTTGCAAATCTCAACTTACAGGAGGTCCGGGTGGTCCAGGAGGCCCTGGGAATCCTGGCAGACCAAAAGGTCCCTAAAAAGAGTGAAAAATATTAAAAATTCCCCTTCTTAAATATTTAAATGAAAATGCAAAGGGAGAGGAAGGGTGGCTACCAAATACCATTGCATATTTGTGAATGTGGGGCAAAATATCTCTAACGGGACTAAACTCCACCTTTCTTTCTGCAGAAGCTTGTATGACTGCAAAGAGAACAGCAGATGCATGTGGAAATATGGAGATTAGGACAGAAGAACATATCCCTGCACCTACATCCTTATTTCCACTGGCTCTGTACCTCTCCAGTGGAGCTGTGGGCACCCCAAAATGATGGTATGCTTCTGCAGAATGAGCTACCTCAGATCAGATCCATTCTGTTCAGTAGCTTCTTCTGAGGATGCTGCAAGTACATGGCAGCTGGTAACTGACCTCTGTTCTTGTGACATTGGCTGATCTTTTGTCCTTACTCAGAGTTGGTAAAGGAAGATATGGCTGGCTGCAAGCAGTTGCACACCTTTGGCATTGCATTGGTTGACTGGGGTGACCCTAAACAAGTTGGTACAAGGAATAGCAAAGCCCCTGGGCATTTGTAGAGCTTGGAGCATCTTGCACATCACACTTCTGGAGTAGGGTAAGGGACCAGAAATGAACTTCATTCTGCTGTGGTTGTAGCATGTTCAGTAAATGAGGATCAAATGGTAGGAGAAACTCACAGGAGGACCCCGAAATCCATTTCCACCTGGGAGCCCACTGGGTCCTGGAGGCCCCTGTTGAACAGAGAGAAGAGTTACATCTGCAGTAACCTCACATAGTTTTCAAAACCCAGGGGTAACCAAACAGTCTGGCTGTACTCGTTTGTCTGATCCCTCCCAAGGAGCTCAATACTTCACCCAGACCATCAGTTTACCAAGGCACATCTTTCTTTTTGCTCCACCTTCCCACGGAGCACGCTTTTGTCACCATCACATGTTGCCAACATCTTCATCTCCTTTGACACAGGGCAGCACTGAGATGCCCCAGGAACCCACCAAACAAAAGATGCCCCAGAACTGGTCACTTCCAGCAATTACAAAGCTGCTGTGCCTTGAATTTACATCAGTGCCAGCTTCCCTGGGGTAGGGTGAGCATCAAATACCCACCCACAAGGCTGCTGACCTGCAGGACTCCACATCTACTCTGCCCAGCACAGAAGGACCCAAGGCCTGGGGTGGGTTTGGAACACCCAGAGTAACCAATAAAGCTAGTAAGATAGTTTAAACTTCTTTTTTGAAAGAGTCTCATTACTTACTGGAGGTCCTGGTAGTCCTTTGCCCTGGAAACAACATTTAAAACAGAAGAAGATCACTTAGAAACAGAACATACAGGAAGAGAAGCACACCTCAGAAGATCCTGCTTAATTTTTTTTTCTTGTAAGTTTCCTCAGCACTCCTCTGTCCCCAATTATTGTAATTTGCATTCACAGCTGGAGTCTTGATGAATTTTTGTTGCCTCTAATAATCTGTATTCCCTTTGCACTGCTGTTACCGACGAGACATCTCTAAGTAAAGCCACATACGGTGACATGATAGTGGGACACAGACATTTATGAAGAAAACATTCCAGTTTATCTACTTTTCCTTTTTTTTTTTCTTTTCATTTTTATTAGACATTATCTAATATCTAATAACTTTGATAGCATTTGATATGCTGGTCTTTATCCCAAGCTGGCTTGCTTTCAACATCTCAGAGATTAAGAAGAGGCCCTCTGTTACCAGAACAGGTCATACCTACATATTCAAACACTTTGAACAATATTTTCACTCACTCAGGATTTGATCCCTTTATTTGGGATACAAGGCTTCCCATCTTGTCTTAGTGATGGTTTGGACGTAACGTTACACGCCATATATACATATGCAGATCTAGGAGGTACTTACAGCTGGTCCAGGAGGTCCAGCAGGTCCTAATGCACCCTACAGGAATAAAACAGAGTGTGAATTACCAGGGATAAACCAGAAACTCCCACATGGGGACACCGACGCCTGCTCTCCTTAATATCAATCTTATGTTTGAAAACTCCAGCAGTGTCTTATAGAAACAGCACGCAGGTGGAGATGCTCAGCTGAATTCACAAATACAAGGACAGAAACTTATGGATAACGACTCTGTCGTTAATTACTTGATTAAAGAACATTTTAAGATAGTAGGGATGGATGTCAAACTGGCCCCAGCAACTTTCTTCACCATTTGCTGGGCAAGAGAGAATAGAGACTAAAACATGAGCTGCTCCTAAAAGACTAAACAGAAACTTCTGCAAGTCACAGCTGGCCTCGGATCAGTCTCCACCAATATCTAAACATTCACAAATTGAATCTCATTCCTAATACATTCATATTGGAGATCCAATGACTAAATTATCTGCATTTATTTACAAGATTTGCACTCATTCTAGTCAATTTTATTAATTTATACAGCTTCCTTTCAAGCAAAGACAAATATTTGGCAGCTCCTGCCTCTTCACTAGCTTTCCTTGGCAAATCCCCAATCTGCTTTTCCAAATTTGCATTCTTACTCTTAAGTTTGACTCGAGTTTGGTGATCCTATGTCTTAGACTAGAATTAAGTCATTCTTGAAGTTGTTACATTTATGCTTAACTAAAGATAGTAAGACAGACAGACCGACCTTCTTAATCCCTTTGTTGCATTGCAAAGATGCCAACATTGGCTGGTAGACTGTGAAATTAATTATAGGTAATAAGCAATTCTGAAACAGGAAGCGAATGGAAATATAAAAATGCACAAAAAACCAGTGTGGTGTGTTGACCTTGGCCAGCAGTTGTTAAGATATCTCTGAGAGATTTATGGATTTATTTATGCACTGTGTTAAACTGGTGCCAGCAAAACTCTCATCTGTTTGCACAGGAGACAAAGAGCAACTACAGCACGAGGCTTCCTCAGCCTCTCGCCAGCCTGATTGCCCAAACCTGTTTTCCAAAAATTCTCAAAATGCTGCACAGAAACATCTCAAGAATGATGTCCTGAGCTGGAATTAAATGGAACCTACCCCTAGGACCAGGAGAACAAGGCAGATGGACAGACCTGGAAAATATCTCAAAACACTGCTGTTTATTGTGATCCCAGGGATGTCTCCAGCCCTTTCCTAATGGTCTGGGTACCAAACGAGATTACAAGTATTTTCTCTTGTTAAGCTTAAAGAGAAAGATAGCGAGGACCCAGGGCCTCATTAAGAGCAGTTCTGTGAGGAAAGGACTGTAATCCAATAAAAATCAACTCAGTTGCAAATGTCAGCTCATTCATTGCTCTTGCTGCAGGTTATTCTGCTTTTCCTCCAGTCACTTTTATCTTTAGGCTGAAGTCCTTACAACTACTGATGGCTGTAAGGGACAAGCTGGGATCTCCTCCTGTAAAGAAAACATTGAATTCCTGGCACTCACTGACTTACATCTTAACCCTGACCCCACTGAAACCAGCTGCATAGTCTCCTTCTGCTTTGGCCAACATGCCAAAAGCTTAGCAGAGTACTCAAAATGCCAAAGATTGGCACTTCACTCTCCTTAATTATGGTATCTTTGAGGGTGTAAGGTGCAGCATGCAGCAGTGAACATTCCTGGTACAGTAAAAGATCATCGAGTTCCTGAGCAAGCTGATGTGACTCCATTAAGTTCAAAGGAGAGACTCTACACCTTGATTTTAATAACATTGTCTGTCTCAACTCATTCTCCTGGTAACAATGTTCTTTCTCTTTTGATTAGAAAACAATCTCATAATAATTTCTCACTTTAAAGTAATATACTTTATGAATATACAACTATGGAGCACAGGAAATACTTGATTAATATGACATTCATAAATAAATATGAATAATTATGTTTTCCTCATTGCTTATAGTATAAAGCACCACACTTCAAAACAGTCTTTGAAAACTTTCCAGTGAAGGACACCAGTATCCAGCACTGAGGCCAGAACCCAGATGGGGTTTTTAATTGAAAAACCATATAGTCTTGATCTGATCAGTTTGTAAGCAGAATAATGTGAAAAGCTAATGGATGCTGCTAGCAATGGGAGTATTTAAGATAAAACCATTTTAGTATGCTGCCTTCACAGCATTGTGCCCCTGGTGAGACATGAATCATCATTGGACTGGTGAAGAGTGGAATAGAGGAGAAAGATGTTTAGCAATAAAATATCATCAAAAATTTTCTTCCAGGAGCCCACTTCCATATGCCAAACACCTTCGCTGTCAAACACTCCAGTTCAGAAAAACACACTTATTCAGAAGAAGTCATGGTTTTGAGCAGGAATTCAATCCCATAATAGTCAGTAACCAACTGATTTCAGTGATTCCTGAGACTTAAAGCTGGGCAGAAGAAAGTTGGGATAACAATGCTGTCCTTTTAGAGTGCTAGAGACTTACAGGGGTGTTTTTTCTTTTTCTAGGCTTTTATTAGACCAATTAAAACAATTTTCCAGATGGACCACTGACCTTGAAAAGCTCCCATAAATGACAACAGGTCCCAAGTTTGCCCCACGCTGACAGACTGAGTTACAAGACATGGGAAAGCACGTCAGATCAGAGCGTGTAGTTATGGCAACTGTTTGCATGCTTCTACTAAAGAGCTCCAGAGGAAGTTCTTGTGCCCAGAAATTATCTGCTCAATTACCCTGCAAACTAGGAGCTTGTTTGCTAAAGTGGGCACGGGCAAATACTACCACCAGACATAAAACAGGGGCACAAAACTGCTCAGTCTTCTGCGTGTGGTCCTGAACTTTTCTATTTTAGAAATCAAGGATCAGTTCCCAGAAGGTGCTGGACTCTTGCCACAGACTGTCCAAGAGTGGTCAGGATTTCACAGCCCTGGATCTCTGGGGAGAAAGATGAGCAGAAGGAAAAGCAAAGGTTTTTAGTGCAGTGCCAACAGACAGGAGCTTGGAGCTGTAACCAAGATGCTTGGGTCCTACCACTCAACTTTCCCGTGGCCCAGCAAACTTTGCCTTGCACATGGGAAAGGATGAAGAGTGTATCAAAGATATATGGCTCCATCACTCATCCCTTTAATTAAACGAGACAATTCACAGAGTTTTGAGCTTTGGGTAATTCCTTGAGGCAACAAATGGATTATTGAGATATAATGAACATATTAGAAAAGTCCAACTTTTTTTAACCTCTGCACACTGCGATGTGTGTTCAGCCCATCACTGAAGCCTCAAGTTCAAGAGACCAGTAAACACCAGCTGTGGATATAACCCTAATCTCCCCACACTGGGAGACAGGGAAATAGCCATGCTGCATAAAAATCTGTGCTGAATGGCTCATTTATATTTAGTTCTTCATGTCACAATGAGACCTAAGTGTCTTTCCAGCCTCATTGTAGATGATCTGAAGGACATCTGTAATGTCTCAGGCAGTCATCTCTCTATCCCTGTGGTGCCCTTAGCAGAGCTGTAATATGCAGGAAGCAAGAAAAAACTCTTTATTTCTTGCTATGCTGGCTGGGGAAGTCTATGCCAAAGCAACTAATAATGTCAACCACATGGACAGTCCCGGAACTAACAGAAGGCAAAAGTTTAAACAGATAATTCACAGCAGCAGTAATTGTAAACATAAGAGACTGCAAATAAAGGCCAAAATAGCTCCACTTTGATGAACTTTGTAATTAAGTCTATCGAGTGCTTCAAGGAACTTTTTAGATATTGGAAATGTCACCAGAGCTGCTCTGCACTGGTACTCCCACCACTGAGGCTGTCCAAGACCATTCAAAGCCATGTGAGAGGAAGATGGACCTCATGCCCTGCCTAATGAAAAGCCAACTGGGGCTTCATTTCAAGGGTCCAAGTATTCTGCAGGGGTTTATGGATAAATAAGCCATCATAATCAACACTTGAATGTGACCAGTTTACAAAGGAATGAGAAATCATCAAGACAAGCAGTGACAATGTTCATTTAAAGGGACTCAGGATCTAGTGTGGTACTCACACGGTCTCCTGGAGGCCCATTTGGGCCAGGTGGGCCATCAGTTCCTGTTAAACCCTGTTAAAAAAACAACAACAAAAAAAGATAAGTGTGAAAAGAGAGAAATACAATAATAAGAGCTATAAGAAGTCCCTGTCATCAACGCAAATCATCTGGATGCCAAGCTCTCTGGAAAGCCTAACCCTTTAATTCCTCTCTGTAATTCATCACAAAGGAAAGGACCAGAAGCAAATGATCAGTACTGTTCCCTATGCACTCTGTGTGGTTGAACACAACCAAGTAGTCTTGTTACTGGTGTTCATCGAGTTGCAGCTTAGCTGTGGAAGCTGACTGAATGATTCCTCTCACCTGATGCAGGAGAAAACGTGCTGGTTACCTCAGCCACCATAGCAGTAAGCTGGTGAGCTGGTAAAACCTGACTGTGTGCAGTCATCTGTCCAGGGCTGTAGGACAAATCCCAGCCCAGGGAGCAGCAAGCCTCAGCTAATAAGTGAGACTGGATTTCTGAATGGATTTACTCTAGAAATGTCAACTGATGCCCATATTTTTGCAGACCTGCCCATCGCACCTCTGAAGAACTCAAATGTTGCATTTTAAGCGTGCTGTCCCACCAGTTATGCATCTCAAAATTGTTCTCATACTCCTTAATTAAGTGAAGAGATGCTTTCAACTCTGAAAATTTCGCCTGACATGCAAGACACTTATCAAGATCCAGGACCTACTTTGCTTCTCCAACAATCACAGAGGAAGTTTACGAGACCCTTCAGGAAAACATCCATGCCTACATGAAATATTTAAAAGATCTAAGAGAAGGTGACAAAATACTCACATCCACTCCAGGAAGGCCAGGCAATCCAGCTTCACCAGCTGCTCCAGCCTTCCCTGGTGCACCTTTGGGCCCCTAAATCAGATAAATAGGCAATTATCTTTAACATAATAAGAGAAACATGGCATGTGTTGATAGGTGCTAAAAGACAGAAGTTTATTTGTTGATGTGTTAATCTGACACCATGGAACATGGAAGAATTCCTGCAGAGAGATGAAACTTGCCATGAATCCATATCCAAATCCTGAATACATTTCAAGCCTTTGGCTCAGTTCTCTGCAACCCAATTAATCACTTACAAATGCAGTTACTCATAAGCTGCTTGTAGTAGAGAAGTAGAAAGGGATGGGGTAAGTGCCCCAAAGTAAAGAGCTGTGCCAACTGGTACAATTTTCAGAACCCTTTGGCAAACCAAGGAGCTGATGCAGACTCAGACTGATGCCAGAAATAACCACACATATGTGGCCTGGAAATAGTTTTAGTTATACTGGTGATGGGTGAGATTTATTTCAGGCATATCCTCCTCTAGCAATGAAGCAGGAGAAGGTATTTGTCCCCAGGACCAGTGCTGAGCATCTCCACTCCTGTGTATTCCTTATCAAAACTCTACTGCAAATCAAGAGCAAAGTGAGACACTGAGTCTTAGCTCTTGCATTGTGTCCCCCTCAAAAGGATGAGCAAGTCAATGTCAACCAGAAAATACTTACTGGTGGGCCTGGCAAACCAGGAGGGCCTGGCTCTCCCTAAAGGAAAGAGAAAAGACATCAGTGTTAGTGCTGAACCTCTCCTTTCTGATGACTATTTGCAAGGGTGGTGTTCCCAACTGCCATAAATCTCAAGCTTCCCTTCATACCCACTCCAAAATTTACCACAATCATTCTTATGAAGCTGATGCTCTGGATCAAGGATGAACCTGGATGTGGAAGCCTTTTCCACATCTGCAGTAGCAGATTTGGTGAAACCCACATCCTCAGCCTCACAGAGAGGGCCAGTGCTTCTGAACAGTGTCCAGCACCTCCAACTTTTTCCATTATTTGCACTTGGGCTTGTCTGCAAGTGGGGCAGAGAGGAAGCTGGATGGCTACCATGGCTTTCAAACATCTTCATGATGAACGGAGGGATACAATGATAAGCTCCAGATATTCAGGACACAGTATGAAACTGCAGTATTACCAGGAGCTGGGGAGTATCAGAATGAACAAACTGTCTATGATGATTTTCTTCACGTGAGTAAACTTTGTCAGGACAAGCGAATGAACAAAGCCCCTAACTGATTTCCACCTAATCCAATTGCCCAATCTGGATTAAATCTATTTTTTATCAAATATTTCAAAACTGCTCATACTTTCCTATCCTAATGGAAAGTAACTTTTAAGAACAGCATTAAAGGTGCTTGGGAGACAATATTTAAAAAGTCTTCGAATCACTCCTTCTAGCTCAGCCAGCTGTAACATCATTCAAGAGCTCACATGGACCCCAGACAACAAACTATTTGTTTTTTAGTGTTAGGCCTCAAAAGAAGCAATCATTTGTGAACAGCAGCAGTTTGACTGGAGCTCGGGTTCCCATCTCATCCCACAGAAAATCACTTTATGCCCCAGTTCCAGATGTTCTGGATGGTGCCTTCCTCTCCTGGCTTTAGGATAAATGCACTAAATATTGTGAGACACTTGAGTATGGTAGGTGAGCAGATGGGAAGGGACATGTTGATACCCTGGAAGAAAAAAAATCTGTATGGAAATAAGATGGTTATTACCAGAGCAAAGCTGGAAATAACACCATCTCCACTGTGGACCTGATAATGAGGAGTTAGAAGGCAGTAAGCAAAGGTATGGAATTTATAGCATGTTTCTATATTTACCACGTCAGCAACTGTGAAATCTGTGGGCAAATCTCTCAAGACTGGCTGCCTTGATTCGCTCAGGGGAGGATTTACATACTGCACTGGTGACCCATCAACGCACAGAGCAGAGGGTCATTGAACAGAGGGATCTTTATGCTCTGGATTGCTGAAGCAATTCCTTTGCTGTCCTTTGCCCACAGATTTCCCATAAATAGTTATCATTACCATAGGTGGGGCAGGTCCCTTGCCAAGGACATGAAAGGAGCAGTTCTTTTGCAATGAATGGTTTGAAAAGGCAGTAGATGTGGTTTACTTCCTCCTCCATCACCTGAGATTGCCAGCTCTTTGCATTTTTTTTCTTGCTTGTGCAATGGCAATCCATAGATCAAGGTCACAGCGTGAGGAAAGGCTGTTTGGGACCATCTTAAACCTTGATCCTGCTGCTGTGGATCCCTGTGGGACTCTGTGGGAGGACCAGAACTTCAGTCAGCTGAATCAAAAGCCTAATCAGTGTTTATATCCCTAATGACTGATCACTGGGAATTAGAGGCAAAGGCTGTCAGCAAAAGGCAATGCTCTCCTGGTGCTGCACAAGAGGGAAGGAAGTTTACTCTGTCTTAGCAAGTCAAACCAGGAGATGGAAAGTGGAAAAAAGAAAAGAAAAAAGAAAAAGCAGCTTGATTTTTGAAAAGTGACAATTGCTTATTAGTAATTTGAGGAATTACATCCCCAGAAATAATTCACAGGAACTTGTCACTAATTCTTTTGATCATAACAGGCTGTTTCTATTCTTGGGAAGGAGAGGAGAGATTTTGCTTGTTACTGAGTACGAAAGGTGAAACATGTTAAAGGCTATAATTATAAAGTATTTCAGAGGGACTTAATGTTGCAGCTCATGCTGAAAGGCAGGAAGGAAAGCAGCAGCTTCTAGAAATGGTGCTTATAGGGTTCATCCGAGGTTTGTTTGGAGGTATCCTGAATAATTCAGCTGTATGTTATGCACCACTCACAGCGAGGGACTGCTCAACACCTTGGCAGCACGCATCCAGCTCAAAGACTGTTCACTGATTCTTCCCCCATAACGTTCATCCAAAGCCATCTCTGAAGACAATCCAGCTGGTGTGGCTTACAGAGTTCAGAAAACTTGCATAGAGACAGCCCAGAAAATGTTCTGATTGTGCTTTAAAAAAAAAAGTCTCATCACTAAAGAAAAGAAATAATAATGATTTCATTCTTTGCAGTGATGGAATGGACACTACTGCTCAGGTTTGACATGATCCTCTGCACACAGTGCTATGAAAATGCAGGGCAGTGCTGGATTTTATTTGCCTTCATTTTTTTTTGCCAGAAAAACAGTAGCTCTTAAACTTGGAGGCTGTATGACTGTGCCCAACACTAGCCACAGCCCTGCTTCTCTTCTCCAATGCAATTCCTTAAGGACTCAATGTCCTGTTGAACAGCAGAAACCATCCCAAGCCTGTCCCTGAACAGCTGGATCATCTCACATGGACAGGGCACCTCACAATCCATATCCATGGGAAGGATGTAGATCAGGTCTGTCCAAATGAGAGGCTATTCCTGCATAGCCAAAACTCCAGACTAAAGCTGGGACTGCAAGGCTTAGCACCTTAAAGACTTTACTCAGCCGCTTGATTTATTAGGACTAAGTTCTTCATATTAATTAGATGTTGTCATTTGGCCCTGTCCCACGGGGAGCCTTCTGAAGCTTTTAGCAGTGGATAAAAGGATGCAGGTTCACATGATCAGCATTTCCCCAGGCTCCTAGTCCCAAGGGTAATCAGAAGTGACGCTGGACTTGTGCCAGAATTAAGGTATAAAATATCCTGTAGAAAGCAGGAACTGAACGACACAAGGAGAGGGATTTGTTTCTTTCTGATTCCCTGTACGCAGAAGTTGGTTGTGACTTGAAGTCTGAAGGGCTTCATTCCCCCCAAATTCTTCTTTTTTGGTCTGTACAAAAATGTGGCCACCGTTTCCTGAAGCCTGCTAGCCACACGGCTGTCTGGCTGCAATAACTCCACGGGCTCACTTCTGCCAACGTCATCGTGTGTCCTTTGCCCTCTTCTAGGGTGTCCCCTCAAGCCTTTTATCACATCAGGAAAAACAGCAGAGAGAAACCGTTGAGGTACCAGCTCTGAACTTCTCATGCTACAAAACCAGAGCGAGATTTTCAGTGAAGAAGTCTCCATTAGTCAAAAGGACACTTTCGAGGGACTTTAAAGCTGCAAGTCAATAAGGTTCTCTCTTCAGACCAGCCTTGCTCACAGAGCCACTGTGAGAGCTCACCACTGCAGACAAACATCTCCTTGTTCACCATAAACCAGGGAACTCATATATCTTTTTTTAACCACCTTATTCAAAAGAAAATGACCTGCATGGAATGAATACATCTTTTTTTTCAGGGTTGCTTAAAGGCCCAATTCCAATAAACTTACTTCAGATGAGCTTTAAAAACCCTGCCCTATTCCATAAGCAGCACAGACAGACAAGCGCTACTCAAACTGAGTATCGAAGCAGGAATCCGGCCTTTTGCATTTGATGTGGTCTTGTTGAAGGTCCATCTGATGCTCTTTTTATCCACTGCCAACTGCAGGACACAATTCAGTCCTTATCCCACAGATGCACAGGAGAAAAATCTTGTATTTCTATGGAAACATCAATTAAAAGTAATAGGACAAGTTTTTCTCCTCCAGTAAGTCCCGTGGTACATAGTCTCCTACCTCTGCAGGAGCTGTACATACAAGAACTGCTGCTGAAATAAAGGTTGCCCATTTCATTTGCCTTCATGTGTCTGCAACACATGAGCCAGATTCTGACCTCTCATATGCCAGAGGAAGTTAGGGATAGCCATACTGACAACATTTAAATAAAACATAGGTAAGAGCAGGGTCTAGTGCTGTATATTTGAGATTCTTGGAGCCTCTACTAGAAATATGGATGCTCTGAAGCGTCACATAAACCTCTCTCTGAACTGCAGAACATGCAATGACTCCAGCACACCTCATACCCATGCACTCAATCTTGAGCTATTACAGACACAAAAAGAAAAATAAGAAGTTTTGCAAGCAGGGTGATAAATCCCTCTGCCTACACTAGATCTGTCCTGAACTCTCTCCTGAGACAGAGGATTCATCCTGCAAAGAACCCAAAGCCACTCAGCACCTCCACTTGCTGTTCTGACCCTTACAGAACGAGGTCTCTTGTGGGTGGGCTGGTTCTCCAGGTCCTCCACACTCTGAAGCATGGCCCAAAAGCTGGGGATCTGGAGAACAAGAGCAGCTTCTCTGCTCAGTTGGCTCCATCTCTGCTCCACCCCTTGCCCTCCCTCGGCCGAGCCTGCCCTCTCCCGTACGGCACTCACGTCTATGCCGTCCTTGCCAGATGGTCCAGGGGGTCCTCGTGGTCCAGGAGGGCCTTGTGGTCCTACTCTCTGGAAGGACTGGGGGGAAAGAGAGAAAGAGAAGAGTTTATTTTTGCACCAGAAGAAACATATGAGCTAAATCAGAAAAACAATAGCCAAGTCCTCCAGCATAACCCTAAATCTGCACTGACCCTCCATCCCTCAGGGCCCCCCACCATCATGGGTTGACTCAGGAACTCAGGAGCAGTGCAAGGCTCTTTGGAAAACCCTTTTGACTGAGCGCATCCTCAGGTCTCCCAGCTCATTTAACTGGTGGCTTACACTGGGAATCAGAGCTGGTCACTGGGCAGCAAATGGATTTGGCTGTGGTTCTCAGTGCCTACAGGCACGTTTCATTCTGAGCAGAGGAGGAAATGCAAAGCCCAGGGAAAATAGGTGCCAAGTGGCATGAAAAGTTAATTTCTAGTTGGCAGTCTGATGGGGTGATGGCAGAGCAAGGCAGATACCACTGAAGGCAG